TAGCTACATGACCCCTGTTCTGCCTGGTGAGCTCATGCAACTCATCATGGCACCTGATTTAATGCCACCAGCTGAAGCCCCGTATCCTGTACTTACAGTTCAGGATGTAGTAGAGCCACCTTTGCCCGATGCTGTAGTAAAATCCCCTTCTACCAGGCCGGATGGATCTCCCTCAACCTCACCACCGCCAAATGCACAAAGTCAAGTCACCGCTTGCATCTTGGTCTCAAATCTGGCCATGCTTCTCGTCGTTCTCTTGCTGTTTTAATACTGGAGAGGGGAGAGTCACCTACTAAAATCCAAGAACCACCCCCCCCCCCTTTTATTAATTTTCTTCTGCCCGGAGTTATTTTTACCTTTATTTTTGTAGGTTTGTTAATTCTTCCTCCATCTATATTAGAAAATTAATGCACAAATTCTTGAACTACGTATCTATTTATTCCGTTTTGAATCAAACCATGGAATGAATTATTCTTGAATTTTTTATTAAATCAAAAGATATCTGTTTAGTCAATCTAGCAATAATAGAAAGCAAATAACCCAATAACCCAAAGGGTTTGAATTAAGGATATGCTTTATTTGAGAGAATTTTTAGGGAAGCAATTTCTTCTATCCTTTACCAATGTTATAGTATTCCTACAATTTAAATTAAGAATCTCTTGCTCTATATATTTAGAAAAGAAATTAGCATTAAATCTTTAAGTTATTGGCTAAAGGCAAGTAATTTTAATACCCTATTATTGTTACATTTTAATATAAACTTGCATATGCTCTAAAATTCCCATGATATAAAAAATTTTCACCATAAGTTGCTGACTTGAAACCTACACAAATTCATCTCAGCATTCTTATGCCGTAAGGCAAAGTTATTCATATAAGTGTACAAATGATTTGATTAGTATATATGGAATGAATGCTTTGATTTGCATATATATTGTTCTTTGCCTTAAAATATACTTTTCCATAGGAAAGTACATGAAAACCAAACGTACATCAAACGTATTTTTCCTTTCTCATGCTTAGTACCCATATGGACATACCCTTATAATGTAAGACTATTATCCCTTAAGAATTGACATTCATTGTATCCTCTCCCATGGTATGAGGAGGGATACATTATGCTTTAATTTATCTTGATTCATCTTTTCAAATACTCCTATCCACAAACTAGAGTTTGTTTTTCGGCTGTTCGTTTTATCATAGAAGCAACAAAAATGGATGATTTTCATCCCTAAAAGCAATGTAACAGATCATATTAAAAGCAAAAATAAATTGCATTCTTCCTTTTGTGTCAATCAAAGTGCATGTTATAAAAAGCACAAAAAGACACCCTAATGCAAACACAAAAGTCAATACCGATCAAAGAGAAGAGGAGGTGAGGTACAATGGTTTTTGATTCAGCTTCTAAAGATTTGTTCTTCTTCTTCACAATGTCCACATTGCAATGCCTAAATCAAGTTCAAGCAAGAACCTATTTCAGTGTCCTTCAGTTTGGTGCTTGTGCTGATGGAAAAACAGACAACAGTAAGGTAAATTGATAAAACCAAATTAACCCCTTTATATAGTATCAACTTGAGATGATAAATCAATTAAGTTCTTGTTGTTCCTTAATATATTACTATATGAATTATTTATGATGTTTTCCCTTTTTTTGAGTTTAGGCGTTTATGGCAGCATGGAATCAGGCTTGCAATTCATTGGGAGAAAATGGTGTTTTGATCCCAACAGGGGTATTTCTGTTGCGTCCAGTAGTGTTTAGGGGTCCCTGTAAGGGCTCTGCTGTGTTTCAGATTAGAGGAGTCCTCAAGGCTCCCACTGATAAAGCTTCACTTTTGGACCATTGGATTAGCTTCAAATACATTGATCAATTGATGATCAATGATGGTGGATCACATGATGGTGGATCACTTGATGGTGAAGGAGCCTCAGCCGGGCCCCTAAACAATTGCAGTAAAGACCCAAATTGCCCTCCTCTTCTTGTTGTAAGTTCCAAAAAATGGTTACCAAATAATAACAGGAGACGATCATCCTGTTTTCTAAATCCCATAAATA